ACTCAGTTGTTGCTTGGTTGCATCAGCGTAGACCCCTTTTGGGTGGTCCAATTGTGCCCAAATTTGGTCCCCAAGGGTTTTTTGACATTCTGAATACAATGGCGGTGGTGTGGTATAGTTTTGTAGCTTCTAACATAGGGCTACAGTTATAACGCCCTTCCTTGGTGCGATTGCACCGTACCCAGGTTGTATGTCTGAGGCTTTATTTTATGGCACAACTTTGGCCCACCAATGTCTTATGTAGCTGCAGGACCAGGCTGTTGTCAGCTCTCACCTTATTCACTTGGGTAGTGTAAGTACGTCAAACATAACGTACAACAGTACTAGCTACTACGGAATGAACGTGCAATTAAAGAAAGAGAGCTAATACCCTCTTATCATTCTTCCAACTCACTGTATTGAACTTTACTTCCAACAAGTATAGATGTAATAAGAGCAAACTATCTCCACTGACATGTGAGTATTCCTGTGACCAGGGAGGTTAACATCACAAAGATGCCTAACCGCCAGCATGTAAGCGGCGTGTGGCGACCTGGGCAGATTAGTATCGCGAGGATTCCTAACCACCGATTGGTGGGCATTCCTATAGCTAGGCAGGTTAGTATCACAAAGATGCCTAACCATCGGCATGTGAGCAGCATACGGCGACTTGAGTAGATTAGTATCAGGAGGAGTCCTAGTCTATGAATAATGTTAAGGCCAGGTAGGTTATCATCACGAAGATGCCTAATCATCGGAATGTGAGCAACAAATGGCGACTTGGGCAGATTAGAATCGCGAGGATTCCTAACCGTCAGTCGGTGAATATTTCTGGGGACAGGCAGGTTAGCTTCATGAAGATGCCTAACCGGCATGTGAGCACCATACGGTGACATGGGCAGATTAGTATCACGAGGATTCCTAACTACTAGTCAGTGGGTATTTCTAGGGCTAGACACATTAGCATCACGAAGATGCCGAACCGTCGACATGTGAGTAGCATACGACAACCTAGGCAGATTAGTATCATGAGGATTCGTAACTGCCAGTCGAAGACCAGTATGAACAACCGATTGTGGGATCCGTATGATGAAAGGTAGGAATCAAGAACCCGACGGTGATGAAGTGGAGGGCTTAGATGGCAAGGGTCTTAACCTAAACTTTGCAGAGGTGGAACATATATCTTTCCCACACACAAGGGCGATTGACCTTACAAAACAAGGCGTCCGTGCCTGACCACGGACATTACAAGCCAAGGTACCACTAACGGTTGTCGTTTGCCGACCCTTGTTGGGGTAAGTCAAGATTACCCTCAATGGTCTGCTTCTTGGGACTAAGTCCACCTGAGGCTGAGATTTCCACATTGTATTAGCCCTTAGAGTTTGCATCTTGGACCCTTGTTCTGCCATCCCTATTTTCGTAACACACAGACTAGCCGTGGTTTTAGTGAAGGCTGACTGGCCCCTCGTTGGGGAGAAGTGCAATGGGACCTCCACGGTTCCTACATAGAAAGATGTCACTACTGTAGCCATTATTACCGCTGACGACCTGTGATTAACACAACGGTTCACTTGTCAAGGTAAATAAAGAAGACACGAGAGTAAATGTGGGAGAGATCGTGACTCAAGACTTATTCTAGAGAGAGATTCGACTTCTTAGACCCAACCAGAGATGAAAGGTGAATTGTTCCATAGTATAGTCGCCAGAGATTTGGACGCTCTAAAATGTGAATTCTTAAAAGGAAATGTTTAAACAAACATCAGACTCCAAATAGAAAACCAGAGGGCATCACATTTAGGGTCAAATTCCCCAGTGCATTCCATGTTAGAAATACAGGCTTTATATTATATTGGACACTAAGCAAATCTAGAGGTTTAATCCCCTATTACAATTTACATCAGCAAAAAGAAAAAAAATATGTGCCGAGCACCTTTGATTCTGGCTTTGACACATATACATTCGTTTCTAAAGAAGAAAATATGCAGACATATAAAAAACAAAAAAGATAACATTAGGGGCATATTAGCTCATATACCTGTGGATGTACGCATGAATATTATCCTTCAAGTCTGGTCTTCCTAAGATAACAGGTCTCAAGTGGATCATAGGGGACAATTACCTCTCTCTCTCTATGTCCTGAGTATCTCACTCGCTTAATTCTTTCTACTGTAAAACCTCGCAAGAATGCTTATCTTGATTCAATTGTCCATAAAAATGTGCATCATCTCTTTAATCAAGAGACCCTTTTTTATATTTTCAAGTTATGAGTTTTCAAGGGATAACCATGCATTTCCCGTCTTTGAATCTCCACCCTTCAGTTTCATTTTGGACTTATCATTTCGTTTGAATCACAGAATTTGCAAGGCATAATTCTTATTTTTATAATGTTGTTGACCTCTTATGCTTATTCTTTCATGTTGGTAATCTCACTATTGGGTTGTTCACGTAGGTATTTTTTGATTGATAATCACTGATATTCACCTTAAATTTCAAACATTTGAACTTCATGATCTTGCGAGAGCAAAATTAGGGATTTGTCACTGTTCTCAGTAGATCGCAACCGCTTCCGTTGTTAGCTTAATCCATGCTACACCTTTTAAGGGTGACGAAGCAATGAGTCAAGAATCCTATAGTGTTGATTTTATGAGAGAACTCCTTATGTAAAAGACCTTCCCCACCTTTTAGTAACCAAATATTACACGACACATAAAACGTTTAAGGCACTAACTGCTAGGCGATGAGGATGATGAATTAAGCCATCTTTGGGCAGCTTTAGATAGTTGTGATATGGTGATGGGTTAAAACATCTCCGGATAGCTTTAAATTGTTGGTTGATATGATGATGGGTTAAGCCATCCCTGGGCAACTTTAAACAACTGGTTGATATGGTGATAGGTTAAGCCATCTCCAGGCAGTTTTAAACTGCTAGTCGATATGGTGATAGGTTAAGCCGTCCCCGAACAACTTTAAACTGCTGGTTGATATGGTGATGGGTTAAGCCATCTTCAGGTAGCTTTAAACTGCTGATTGATATGGTGATGAGTTAAACCATCTCGGAACATCTTTATAGTGCCAATGAGGATGATGGGTTAAGCCATCTCCGAGAAGCTTTAGACTGCCAATGAGGATGATGGGTTAAGCCATCTCCGGACAGCTTTAGATTGCTGATGAGGATGATGGGTTAAGCCATCTCCGGGTAGTTTCAGATTGTCGATGAGAATGATGGATTTAACCATCTCTAGGCAGCTTTAAACTACCGATGAGGATGATGGGTTATGCCATCTCTGGGTATCTTCAAGGACACATTTGAGCTGGCGCCATCAAGATTTATACTCTTTTTCGACTACCTATTAAGGCAACCATTAGTGTGTGTTACCGATTTTGTTGTATGTCTTCAATCAAGTGTTTGTTTAGAATGTACTTAGTCTTGTATGGGGACTAAGCAATACATCTTCAACGAAAAAGCTTATTCAAATAACTTATTCATCATGCTTTCATACCTCAACCCCAGTGTTTGTTAAAATGCGTCTAGCCTTTGTATAAGACTAAAAGTACACCCAACAATGGCCCCTCATAGGCCCCACCCAATCTACCACTTATATTTAAATGGCCCCCCATATCAAATGGAGGGTCCCACACATTTTAGAAAATATTAAATTTGATTTCTTAGAGTTTACAAAAAAAATTTATTTCTCTTAGATTATTTAAAACATTAAATATTGATTTTCTCTTATATTATAAATTCAAATGATGAAAATAAAATATCAAGAAGTTCACAAAAATTTAAATAAAAGTTTCAAAAAATCATATAACATAAAATTAATTAAAACTAATTAATTTTGATGGGAATCGGATCCGTATAGGTCTTGAATTTTTCAATATACTGGAGCACTCTACCTTTAATTGTGGACCACAATCTATACTAGCTTTTTTCAAACTGACTCAAGTGTTTCCATGAGCCACAGTCCACTGCAGGGGTTCATGATTAGTCCACCAAAATCAGCCAATAAGCTAGGAGACGTCATCCCAGTCTATGGATTTCAGGTTCTCCCCTAGAAAGAAATCTATGGTTCTCTAAACCATGATGCAACTACGGCTCCATGGTGCATATGGGTAATCTCTCGTACAGTTACATGCGTCACCCTCAATGGTAGATTGCTATCTTGGTACGATTGTCTATGTACATGCCGTGTGATGGTACTATGCTGAGGTTTTATCACTATCTTTAAAGGTCAACCATCACACACAAGGGCCACACAATCCTTGGGCTCACTCATTCGAGCATAAATCCGACTTCATCGAGGGCTGACCAACTGAACCCTCCTCGGTTTTAACTCTATGTGCAGGTACCTTGGGTTTTTCCAACTCGACTGACCCAGTACGTCGAGCCTAATCTGAGTGTCAGCAAATGGCATTTGTCGAATATGGTCCACAAGGTGATCACACTCCGAATAAATTTATTGATTATTTAAATAAAATGTTGCTAAAATCTCTCATGGGGCCTTTAAGGCCCACATAAACCCTACATTATGGAGGTTTGATAAGAGATTCTAAGGGCAGTATTTTATTCTTTCCTTAGGTCCTTGTGCCACAACTTTGGCAAATGAGGTAGAAATTATAATGCTTTGCATGGGCTTATATTTGTTATAACTTTATACTTGGGGGAGGCGGTGTTTCCAGAAGGATATATGGAACAAGGTAGATGTGTCCTTTTTGAATGTTTATAGAGAAGCTAAGGGGGAGGCTAATTCCAAAGCTAAACAAGGAGTACACTCATGCTTGTTGGTAGCGAATAACCTAGTGGGTATGCTATGACCATTTTCTTCATTATGACATTATTACAATGTGATTTTCATTGGTCTGAATAGAATTTCAATAATCCTATGAAAAATAAATAAAAATATAACGAATCTATGAAACTCTTTTTAGTAGTCAATTTCACATCCATCTACTGTTATGGTCATGAACATTATATAAGCACACTAAAGACCCTGCATAGAGTCCCTGGTAACCGATTTTTGAACTGCATAGGGGCTTCCGAAGTTAGGGTTGGTACAGTTGTGAAATAACAAACCAACTTCAAAAAACAGTCCTTAGTTTTGGGCTTTTGTTTCATGCTGGTAACAATCAACCTCACTCACCCTAATTTCTCTCTCTCTTCCTCTTCCTCTTCCTCTTCTCTTATTCACCTCTCAAATCAACTGATACTTCTTCCTAAAGAGTCTCATCTCATACCCCACTCTCTCTTTCTTTCTCTCTCTGTATCTGTGTTTCTGAAATGGTGCTCGCGGATTATTACATTGAAAAGAGTTTAGGAATAGACTCGCAGGGAGAGACTCTGAGAGCCATTGCGTTCAAGGACTACTCGTCAGTCACCTTGAAGATTCTTCACTTTGAAACATACGATGGGCCCCTCCTCAACTTCGATCAAGAAATCTCAATCGTTTACTCAATCCCAAGCTCGATCTACATTGTCCAGTCCGTACCTCTCTCTCTCTCTCCATTCCATTACAAGAAAGATAAAGAGATGCCCTCTTAATCTTCCTTCTTGAGTCATGATGAAGTAATTCTTGGTTGAATTCGTTGATCTCTGTTGGGTTTAGATTTCTATTCATCAATTGATTGGTAATTCTGTGTTTGCTTTGTTTTTCTTTTATGTGTTTTAAAGAATCTTAGACCTGGATATCTATATGGATCTACTTTTGAGGTGCTGGACCTTCCTGATCTTTGAGGCCATGGATATGGACCTCAAAGAATTCATCAGATTAGGGCAACAGTTGAACGCCAAACGTATCAAGGTGTGTTACCCCTCTTCATTTGCTTCTCTTACTCTCTCTCTCTCTCTAAGAATGGGCATGTGTTCTTTGTTAGTTTTTAGAGAATGAAAAAATATCATTACTGGGTCTTCTTTTCCTGTTGCAGAGCTTCTTGTACCAGCTTTGCATGGGTGTGAGTTACATTCACAGTCACTCCATTATTCATAGGTTATTGATTTCATTAACCCACCATCTCTTTCTCTGTCATCTTCTTTTTCTTCTCATAATTTCTTTGTTTTCATCTGTTTAAATAAAACATACTTGATGAACGATTTCAGGGATTTGAAACCGAGAAATATTTGGGTGAACAAGAGCAAGGGTGTGGTCAAGATTGAGGGCTTTGGGTTCGCACAGAGAGATCGCACCCCACAAGAAGAACGCGTATTTCCTGAGGTTCTTTTCTTCTTTACTCTTCAATTTCATGGTTGTGAAATGAACATCTGTTTTCCTTTCTCTTTTTTTCTTTTCTTCTTACAGTTCCTCTATTCCATGTTTCTGTTTCTTGAATTGAAATTTGAAAATTTTGGTTCTTTTCCTGTTTCTTGTATAATCTACAATTTCACGGTCCCAAGCTCATTCATTCATTCATTTTTTTTTCTACTTTCTACAAATAATAAATATTGGGTCCTTACTCTCTCTGTAAATGAATATATCAGGCCGGTCTTTCATGGTACAGAGCTCCTGAAGTGTTATTGCATGGCCCATATTCAACCCCTTGCGATATGTGGTCCCTCGGTTGCATATTTGGTATATCTGCTTGTTTCTTTTTTTTAATACACATTTTTGCATGCATATTGTGTGTAAAATTTTATGCCTAATACTCTGAAATGGGCGCTTGTGTTCCTGATTTTCAATTATTTCTCTCACTTTTCTTAAATCAGGTGAAATGGTTGTGAGGAAACCGCTGTTTGGTGAATACTCACAAATCGAGCAGTTACATGAAATTTTTCAGTAAGTCATCTCTTGTTGAAAGCGCGAGATCATTCTTGATTTTCTTTTTGTTTTTGATAACTTTAACCATGAGAAGATGGGTTTTTCTTCCGGTGCTTAAATGTATATTATTGCAAGGTAATTTCAGTCGAAATAAGTGGTTTGGGTTTCTATTTTATGGATGCATGTTGTGATTTTGGAGATTGGTGGGAACCCCAGATGAAGATGCGTGGCCTGATTTGCTGACATATGAAGGTTGGCATCAGTTTCCACAATGGCGTGGAAGAGACCTCTCCCTCACCTTTCCCACTTTGGAACCCGATGGCCTCGACCTTCTCTCTGTGAGTTGTATATATACATGTAAAAGTGATTTCATGCGACGGTCTTGCAATAGGAAAAGCTTTTTATGTTCTTTATATAATGTAGAAGTTCTATCCTCTTCCTACCATCCAGCCGTCCATTTTTTATCAAGAGAGTCACTCACCGTCTGATCTTAGATCCGACTTCTTAAAGTATTTTATTTTTAGTTTTTTAATATAATTTTTCTGAATATGAAATTTAGTACATGCCATCTTTTCATTGGGTTGTACCTATAAAAAATATTAACAATAAATTTTCAATAAAAACTAATGACCAAAATACCCCTTAAATCTATCAAGGGGATTTTTATCATTTTATTTTATTGAAAATAGTTTTTATATTTTTCATTAGTGTGAGTTTAATAGAGGAATGGACATCCAAAATTTGGAGTCGAAATAGTTTGTAGAAAAAAAATTTAAAATAAATAGTGTAGAGACGTGATATTGTGATTTGGGCAATCTTAGCCCTCTATTAAAAAATGAACAGTTGGATAAGGGGGAGGATAGAACTTCTATGTTGTAGGGTGAACATAAAAAGCTTTTCTCTTATAATACTATTAAAAAATATGTTACGGTCTTACTTTTTAATATATAATCTTTTCATTTTAATGAGCATTTACCAAAAAGGAATAGTATAGAATGAGACCATTTACCTCTGATATAAGGTGGTCATATTAATCTTGACCATTGGATGTAAAATTGAGAGGCTGTAATTATTTCATTGACCAATATCAAACTTCAAAAGGAATTTTCTTGAACTTTGTGACACATCTAATCTATCCAATTTCACATCAAATGGTTGTAAGGATTTGTTTCCACCTTGTAGCAAAGGTGAATGGTCTCATTATATACAATCCCTTACAAAAATGTAAAATTTGAAAGTATTATCTAAAAAGTATTTTTAAAAAAAGAAAAAATAGATTTTGAATACGTAAACGCCTATATCTTGAAATTCACCAAATAGATTGTCGAGATTCATCATTGGAGGGCACTCATTTTGACCATATCAACGTGTAAATTGAATTTTATTCTTTTTGGAAAATGATTATTGGGATGAAGAGGTGTAAGTACAAAATGTAGTGTCGTATAAATGTACAAATGTTGTAATTTATAAGCCTGGTTTCATTATTTTACAATGACACAATGACATGAAATCATTCCCCATGTACACACACATATATGTAAGAAAAAGTTTATATAAGGTTATAATCTTAAATTGTAAAATTAAGGTGCACCTAAAAAATCCATCGACAAAGTCTATTTCTACGTTGAAAAACCTTCTAATTGACCATGTCAACTTCAAAATTAATGGAAACTAAAAGGAAAAAGATTTCGAATCTCAAAACCAGTGCATCTTGCAGTAAATTTTCTAGTTCATTTATTTTCAAGATTTTCAGGTGTTTATAGTTCTATTTGATTTGAACCATTTTTGAAGTTTCAAGTTTTATAACTAAAGCTAAAAATAGATTTTCCAGGTCATCTTATAATTTTTTGCACCAAAATTACATTTTATAAATAAAATTTGGAGTTGTGTTTTGCTTTAATTGTTTAAGGTTATAATTTTTTTGTATATGATTTGGGTATATTTGACAAGAAATGGTGTGTGTTAGTTGGCTTAATTGCTATTTTAACATATTCCTTTTTTTTTTGGAAT